GGCCCTACATTCTCTAAAGAGTTAGCTAGCTGCCTGTCTTCATCAGACTTGGAATTCGTAAGGAACTCATCAGAGTGGTATGAGTCATTATCTGAAGACATTTCCCCATCTGACTCTGCCTCTGCTTTGTTTTCCATCACACCTAGGTTTTCCATGGTTTCAAGACTACTATCTGATTTCCAAAGATTTACTTTTAAGTTTGGTTTTAGAAAGTTAACTTTCATTTCAGGCTTTGTAAAGTTTCCTAGCTTTCGTAGATTGCCAATATTTACATTGGATTTGGTCTGTTTCACTTTCTGATTTAGAGATGAAAATTTGCTCATTAAAAATTTTTTTCCCTGGGCCAAAGAGCCTTGGTTTTGAGATCTGATGCCAATGATGTCTTCATGAGGTTTACTGCTCTTCCTACAAATCAGAAAAGAGAAAAGTTAATTTCCCATAGAATCCAGTACCAAGTCCAATGATGAATATAAGTAAAAACTCTATTTAAATTGGCCCCAATTTCTTAAAACAGCACATTGCTAAAATGATAAACCCAGATGACTGCTCCGACTTGATGCTAGAACATTAATGCCCCATAGAAATATGTGAGCCATGTATATATTTTACATTTTCTAGCAGCCAAATTAAAAACATTAAATTTTAATAGTATTAACCCCATATATACAAAATATTGTCATTTCAATGTATAATCAGTATTAAGAGATGATTATTCAGGAGTGGTATAGCTCAGTGGTAGAGCACATGCTTAGCATGCACAAGGTCCTGGGTTCAATCCCCAGTACCACTCGTTTGAAAAAAAAAAGTTTAAACAAATAAATAAACTAGGTTTTAAAAAACAGGGTATCTTAATCTTTTTCAAACTAAGTCTTTGAAACAGCCAGTGCATAGTATTTTATATTTTACAACAGGGCAGCAGAAGCAGAATAGACCCCAGGCACTGAGTGGGAACAGGTAGTCTGGCTGTGTGACTTTAACTCCAAGTTCAGCAAGCAAGCCACAGACGTCTCCCGAAAGGGCTTTGTCATCTTTCTCAAGCAGGCCACCTGGTGTACTCAAGAACCACCCTGTGGAAACACTACATCTGCTATACCTTAATCCTACTTAGTGAAGCCCTTCACAAGAATGAGATGAATTATGGAGTTCTTTTGGACCAAAGCTCTTGCCCTTAGAGCTGATCATAGATTGTTATTGCATGTTTCCTTCAGCTGTGTTCTCCCCTGCATTCAGAGAGGAGGGGGAGGCAGTGGAGAAGGAAGCCTGCTAATGGTAGCTTCAACCTGCATTATTCTGAGAACAAATGTTTCCAAACCCCCCGAGAAACCCCACACCTGAAATTCAACTGGTCACATTTCAAGGGTTCTACAGCCCCATGTGACTGGCTACAATCTGGAGCAGCACAGGTTTACCACATTCACCATTTAAACCACTAGCAAAGGCAACACTGACTGTAAGTGGAAATCTACAGCATCTTAAGCTGTCTACACACACTCCAATTTGGCCGAATTCAGGTATGGGGAGGGAAAGAACTCTGTTTCCTTATGTTTCCTGTGGGTTACCTGAATTTATTTTAAAAGCCTTGGACATTTAATATAGCTAAACTTAGTGTTTTCCTTTGGCATCCCTCATGGATGCTACAAATAAGAAAAATGTCAGCAATATTTGCCACTTGTCTCAGTACACAGGTTTGACACTTGTTGGTCATGCAGGATTACTGATCATGAAAATATTTCATTAAAATGATGATGTTAAAGAGCTACTGATAAAGTACTACAGAATTTAAAGAATCACTCAATTTGAAAACTAAAGAGCCACTGAAATAATTATTTCTACTAACAGAAGACTGAACAATTTTTCTCTAGATGACAAATGGCTCTTTCTTCTAATGGTATGTGGACCTTATAAAACCTGCTCATTAGATGGACAATCCAAAAATTATAAAATGCAAAATCATCTGTTTATAGGCATTCTTTTCCCCAAATTCAAAAACCTAGTGTTTAAAACATACTAGCTGGTTATTTTCTCTAAAAAGTTACTTAAATGTGAATACTCCCTCTCTTGAGAGTATTTTTAAGAGTTTTAAAATATATCACTTATGGCCATAATTTAAACAAAATTATAACTTTTTGATCCATAGAGATATACTTCCCTCTCTAAATACCAACACATTACCATCATGTGATTTCTCTTCTTCTTGCAAATACTTTGAAAGAAGTAAAACTCTGGATAGTAATGTCTATTTTTGAGAGAAAATCAATGTGGTAAACTCACCTCTCAAGTTTTTTCTCTATTATAGGTACATCTAATCCCATGGCTTGCTTGGTGATCTGCAGCATCTCTGCAATGCACTGAAGGGTATCTGAAATCCAAATATAACTGCTTGCTAGTTTCTCCAAATATATATATATATATAAACAGCAGTCCTAACTCAGAACTCCAAATGAAATTTGTAATCTTATAATTAAATACAAGTTTATTTGTTATAATTTACAGAAAACTCCTACTTATTCATCACTCCCCCCACTAATTCAAAATGTTCCAGAATTTTAACAGAAGGGTAAATAAAGAACCAAATCAATTGGAATTAAAGGTTTGTGCTGAAACTCGTTTGTCCAAACACTGTGCTAGATGCTGAGGCAACGGCTGTGAACAAGACAGGCGACCCCTGATTACTACCTATGAGAGGCATGCGCTGGGAAGAGCCCCAGCACCTCTCTAGCCAAACACACTAAGAAATCCCATTCTCAGTCCCCTTGCCTCAAACTACATCATCAGTTCAAATAATGACCCTGCACTGCTGGGAACAAAGTTGCTATTTCAAGATCTTGAATCACAAAGCTATTTTCCCAGATCATTCGGTTGGTAACAGTATGTACTGTCCCCAGTTCCACTTGGGCTTATAAGAGCAGACAAAGAGTTATCACTGAACACTTTCATCTCTCATTACCTTTCCATCCTCTTCCGGATTGCGCATTACAGCTCTCAGTGTGTGGAAATAGCCACTTGCTTCTTTGTATCTGTAGTGCAATCGCATGCAGGAGAACTTTGGCTTCCCAAAAAGAGTGGGTTCAGGACCTAAAGACCCAAATGAGTATATGTAAATCTCTCATGTAACACTTTCTTCTATGTCTTCGAAAGACCAACAAACGTTCATCAATTATTACTTAGCACTTTTTTCTTCATAACCTAAATGAAAGCACACGCTTATTGTGATAGTTTGGTATGACAAGACTATAAACAAAAAAACTCTTCTTCAGTCTCAAATATTTAAAACTTTCGATCTCTGGGTTAATCTTCACAGGGTAAGTAATGAAAGAGGTACAGTTATTTCACTGCATCCATCACTAATCTCTAAAAAAGAGAAGGGAATCCCAAGAAATGGACCACTTGGAATATCCCTTTCTCAGTCCAGTGAGATGTTATACCAGCTGCATAAATAAGGATCCACTCTTGGAAGAAACAGTATTTGCTTTCTATGACTTGGTTAGTATGTTAAAATTTACCTATTTCTATTTTTTCCAGGTCTTCTAGACTTAGTCGCTGATACTGGTTTACTTTGTCAACTTCATCATCATAACTAAACAAAGAGAGGAGAGTAATTGAGGATTAACATAAAAAGCATATTTGGCTTGGCAGTGAGGTGGGACAGCAGCAACTACTATGCAGTTAAAGTCTTCCACAGCACAATACATTCTGGGGCAAAGAGTTAAACAAATATTTTTAAAACTAGATGAAATGAGATGAACATATACATAATTTAACAGCTAAAGGAAAATCAGTTTATAGACCTTACACTAAAAGAAACCAATTACAAAGCAAAATTAAATTCAGTTTCATAAAAACTTTTGCAAAACTAAAACCTAAACCAACCTAAAAGGAAAGCAAAACAAATTTACATGCTGAAGCTTTGTATTTGTGAATAAAACAGATAAATTGATTTCCAAAATCAAGAACAACAACAAAAAAATCCCTATGATCAACCTAGGCCAATGACTGAAAAAAAAGACAGTTCACATGAGGCCAAAAAGATAGTAAGTACTTGAAAAAAGTAAAACTCAATTCTGCTAAGAATGTGAGTAAGTACTTGTATTTTTACTAGTGACACTGTTAATTTGGTAGTCCTTCTTTCTGGAGATTAATCTTTCAATAAGGCACAAAAGGATATAATTCATCATATCCTTATAACCAGAGAAGTGCGTTTGCACACACACAGAATTATTTGCACAAAGACTGTTGTGTCACTCATAAAAGCAAAAAGATGGAAGTATTTTAATGCCTAACAATTGGGAAGCATTTAACTATGGTATAATAGTAAAAACAATGACATATAGTCACTAACAATAAAAATACATGGAGAAGGGAGAGTATAGTTCAGTGGTACAGTGTGTGCTTAGCATGCACGAGGTCCTGGGTTCAATTCCCAGTACCTCCATTGAAATAAATAAATAAACCTAATCATGCACCCTCCCAAAAAATGTGGAAAACTTGAGAGATATATAGGAAATACTAAGTACTAAAAGAACACTATTATATGAACATACTGATTACAAATAACTCTAAAGTCACATTTTCAAATTGATAAAAGGAAGTCAGAGTGATGTAAAAATTATGTTAAACTATAAAGAGGTTCAATGAAATTTCTTAAAATACACAACAAAACCAGATTCTTGATTTTTTTGTTACGAATTCTAAAAAGGAAATTTACTCACATTAAACAAAATTAAAAGCTTTAAATCAATAAGCAACTTACTAGGCCACGTAGTAGGCAGAGTTAGAAAGCAGTAACAGCACATCCACATCTCTGTGAGTAGCATCAATGAGGCTAAACAAACATGACACAGGAAATTAAATATTTTTGTTTTCATCTACATTTTTCTACAGCAGAGCCACTTATGATAAAAGATTGGCAGAGGCTGGGGTCGGGAAGAAAATCAATTAATCAATGAGTCCTACTTCTGAAGTTAAATGTGTACAATCTCCCCATTTGGAAATTAAAAAAAGAAAAAGGAACCCAGTTTAGGAAGGCAGGGTAAGTAGGTGGAATGAAGGACTAGAGCTGAGGACAAGTCTGTTCTCAAAGAGGTAGACAAGGAGGAGGGAAGACTCAGTGGAAATGGGATAATAGGGATGGAGGGCAGATTGGATGATGGTAGAGAAGGTAAGGATTAGAAAGAAAGGAAAACATGAGGCTGATAAGGGAGAAATTGTCTAGATCATCTCATATAACCTAACCTTCCAAATGACATTGTACATTTAGGATATTTTTACACTCATGTAGAATGCATCCTATGAAAGAATCTTACGTAAAAATAACACTTATTTGTAAAATGGAACCAAGCCCAAACTACTTTGCATTCTTCTTACTACAGATTAATTCACTCCACTTTTAAGGAACAAGTAAACATTTCCTTACTCTAAGTCCGTTTAGTCATATTTTACCTCCACTCCTAAATCAAATATCAGAATAAGAGTTAGAAACTAGATGAATGTTGATGAACCATTAAATCAAATACTAATTTAAAAGAAGGTAAACATATAAAGTCGACAAATAATCAACAGATAACTCGAACAGAATCTGAGCTGAAGCAAAACTTTTAATCTAATGGTCATTTACTACTGAAACAGCCTTTCCAATCAAAAGGTGAAAATTAATCTGCGTTCTTACACTGGTTCTCAAAATTTCACTGTAGGACTGGATTATTTCTGCCTTAGAATTTCGTATCTATTTGCAAAGACTTATCAAAATGCTACTGAAAACAAATGGGAGAACTGTAGGGAAAAAAAATCACTTGTAGATGGAATTTAAGTCACGTACATAATCTGCGTAAGAATGAGGTCACTGTTTTAACAGATACTGCAGAGAAAAATTTACCAAGATCTCAAACTGCAGTATTTTATGTCAGCAGCACCTTGGCAGCATAACTTTGAGTCTTAATTTAAAATAACAAAATCGACCTCAATGTTCACCAAAAACATGCCAAAAAATACAACTAATGAGATAAGAAGCCAGAACCCAATTAATGAGGATTAATCCAAATTATGAGCACTAACCAACCAACCAATGGGAAACAGAAAATCATAAATCCAATGATCTTGGCAGCCTCACTAAGAATAACGTAGAGTAACATTGAAGATGGAATTTAGTTTTGCGCATTGGTACTTACGTGCGCTCTTAAAAATGTCACTTGAGCCAAGCCATAAAAAGTACGTCACGACACATATGTTAATATGAAATAAATTCTACACCTACTAATTAGTGTTACTTCATCCTAGCTTCTATTTTGACATTAATATTTACATCGGTCAAACACGATCTCAGTCAAAAGCATCATGTCCACAAGAAAAGCATTTGGCACGTAACAGGCAGTCGAAAAAAGTCAGCCCTCCCCCCACCCGCATTTTTACCTAAGTATAAGCTGCAGTAAATACTTAATTTCCCTCCCCACACCCCAAATCCCACTTAAATAGAAAAAAAAATTTTTTTTAACACGGACAAGAAAAGAAAGAAATCCCCTCCCCGTAGGTAGGTCCCCGCCCCCACGCCTGCAGCTCGGAAGGAAGGGCCGCGCTACTCGGTCTTCTCTTCCCGCCAGTCAGGCATGCCCTCCTTCCACACGATGAAGACAAACACCGCCAGCACCACATGCAGCCCAACCACCGCGACAATGGTCGCGTAAAAGCCACTGTCATCGGGGGACATTAACAGGAGGCTTTGAAAAAGCAGTAATTTGCAGGAAAAATACAACCCCACAGGAACTTTAACCATAAGTCCTGCAAAAAGGAGAAAAATCTTGAAAGTCGTCGCCAGGCTGCCCGCTTCGGGCTTGGGCTCGGCGGCACTGCCAGCGGCGTTGCCCGTGGTGTTAGCTTGCCGCTGGGCGGTCGGAGGAGGCCGGTGGGAGCGCGGCATCTCGTCCGTCAGTCAGTCCGTCCGTCAGTCCGTCCGTCGATGAGCGGAAGCTCAGTCAGACGGGCTCGCACCGGACCCAGCGCCTGCAGCGACTGCGACGACTGCGGCAACTGCGGCGCTGCCGCGCCAAGCCCCGCCCAGAAACGTCTCGCTTCCAGCCGCCCACTCCCACCGCGGCACGCGCCCAGTGCGCAAGCGCGGCCGGGCCTGCGCCGCCGGAGCCGCAAGGGGGCGCCGACCCCAGCCCGCGGGGACGCTGCGCCCCGCCTGCCGGGAGGGTTCACGCACGGCTTTTGCAAAGGGCCGTCCCTGCTACTGGCGGGGACGCCGGCGGTCGGGCTGCGGCACTGTGACTAACTGTCCCTGCACTGACTGCCGAATGCCCAAGAGCGTTGCTTGTACACGCCTCGCCGTTCCACTAAAGCCAGAGACGTCATCGACTCTCGGTATCAGAAAAAGCGAGTCAGAGTTGGACAGAACCAAGACTGGGCTTGTGGAGATGCCGAAGGGCACGTGGACGGTAGCCCGGTTTCCTTTCACCTGAAGAGCCCCTCTCCGGCCCACAGTGCACCGCCAGGCGTTTATCTGCTGTCATTCAAGGCCGCTTCTCCTGCGGCATCCGGCCGCGCAGAAGGGAAAGGACCCGGCCTGAGAGTCTGATCTGTGTGCCCCACGGGCCGCCCCCGGCAAGAAACTGAGCTGTGTCGCCGATTAACAGAAAAACGGCCGGGGCCAGGGGTGCGCACGGGTAAGCACGGAGGAGGGCACAAACCAAGCAACCGGTGGAAAGCCGTGCTGGACAGTTCCAACTGCAGTGCTGGGAGGCTAAGAAAAAGGTCCCTTTTTGCCACCCTGGGCAGGACCGAGGATTTGTAAACAGCTTGCCATGACTGTCTTTCTGCCAGATTCTTAAACAGGGACAGGACTACAGTTGAGGTGAGTGAGGCACTGGTCTCCAGCCCCAAATTTAAGGGGGTGCCAAAAAACTCAGCCGTTAAAATTTTTAGTACAGTATTTTCAAAAATCAAAATTAATGCAAAACATCATGATAAAACAAACATTTCGAATAAAGATTGAATCCAAGCTTGCACCTCTAGAACCCTGTCTCATTTGCCTCACCCTAATTCCAGCCCTGGTTCCTGTAAAATTTTAAGGACAATAACATGTGACCCAGCTCAACAAAAAGACATACAACCCGATTTTTTAAATGGGCAAAGAATTTGAATAGACGTTTTTCTAAGGAAGACATACCAATGCCCAATAACAACAACAAATGCCCAACAAGCACAAGAAAAAGACCCACAATATTATTTGTCACTAGGGCAATGCAAATCAAAACCGAAATGGGATACTACGTCACAGCCACTAAGATTACTACAATTAAAACAGAAAACAAGTGTTGAGGACATAGAAAAAATGGAATCCTCTTAATATTGCTGGTGGGAATGTAAAATGGTGCCGTATGGAGAATAGTTTGGTGGCTTCTCAAAAGTTAAGCATAGAATAACACATGGTCTAGCAATTTCCACTCCTAGGTATATACCCAAATGAAAAAGAGGTGTTCAAACAAAAACTTGTACATAAGTATTCACTGCATCACTATTTACAATAGTCAGAAGGTGGAAACAATGAAAGTGCCCAAAGGAAGAATGGATAAAAAGATGGCCTATCCATACAATGAAATACTACTCAGCTATAAAAAGGAATGAGGTTCTAATACATGCACGAACCATGAAACATTATGCTAAGTGCATGAAGTCAGTCACAGAGGTGATATATGATTCCATCTATATGAAGTGTCCACAATACAAAAATCCAGAGAGGCAGAAGTGGGTTAGTGGTTGCTTAGCGGGTAGGAGTGGGAATATGGTATGGGGCTTCTCTTTGTGCTGATAAAAACGTTTTAAAACTGACCAAACTGATGGTTGTACAATTCTGTAAATATCCTAGAAACCACTGAATTGTATGCTTTAAATGGGTGAATTGAATGGTATATGAATTATCTCAATAAAGGTGTTTTTAAAAACCACACACAACCCAGGAATGGATGGCTGAGGCAGACAGGTGCCAACTGCTGAAGGCCCTGAGCGAGGGGCTGAACCCATTGCTGGCTGCCTGGGGGGTAAGCCCCCAAAGTCATTCCCAAAGCTCCCTCCTGCTGTTTTCCAGCAGGGGCCACCTACTCCAGGTCCACATCTCTAGCTCAGTAGACAGACTGTACAAAGCTCTACAGCAAACTCAGCCCAAGGGCAGGTTTCCAAACTTCTCCCTTCAAGAGAAAGGAAAACTATCCACTATCTGGAAAGTCTTTAAGCCTTACAAATGAAGACAAATACCAGCGGCATATTCAAAGAAGTCTTAGCAGTATTAGAAAGGGTGATAACCACAAGACAAAGTACTTCTAAGAAGAAGGAGCATTCCTAAAGAACTGTCTAATCAAGATGGAGACATAATTAACTTTGGAAATTCAAATGGGCACATGATACCCATCAGAGAACAATCTATCAGAAAGGAAAATGCAGTGAAATCTGAAGATAGTAACAGTTCTGTACCTGAAAAAGCACTGCCTCTGGAAGAAGAGACAGAAGAGAAGACTGAAGAGCTCTCTGAAATACTGATGGCTCTTGGTCCAGCTCCTTCAAAGCCCAAACCTACACCCCAAGTCACCCGTGCCTCCCGAGGGGGCCCAGGCTGGGACCAGCCACAAGGTGGTGAACACTGCCTCCTATTAAAACAAAGATACCAAGACTCCTGGCAGGCAGGCCCCAGCCCTCTACCCAAGCCAACAAGCCAAAACATGTCCTGCAGGGTCACCCCTTCCAAAGCATCAGCTTCATTATCTACTCCATCCCAACATCCTGTCCCAAATCTTCAAACAAGGCAGTTTCTAGTAAAATGTAACAGTGGGAAGCACAAAAAAAGGAAGAAAAAAACCAGCAAGCAGTTAATGCCTCAGTTGTTGTCAGACACTTTGGTGTGGGCAACCTTAGTGAGATCCTTCCGAGTGCTCCAGTGTACAGCCTCAAACGTAAGCAGTCTATCTCTGTCACTGAGGAGCAGACCACAGACAAATTCCAGAAGTCTGTGCCCCACCCCCTTCACCTTCCTTTTCTTGAGAATTCCCTCAGACACTCCTGTTGTCCTGGTAAGCAATGGAGCTCCCTGCTCATCTCTCCTCAAACCCGGGTCAGTGCTCCTTCACTGAAGAGCTGACACACAGAACCATTCTCCATCAGGCACTGGCTTATGTGTTAGCACTAACAAGACAGGGAAGGCAGCACCTCAGCTAATGAGAGGTGGGCTGATGGGACAATCTTGAGAATCTCTCAGTATCCTATAGATGAAGGTCAAAGGCTATCATTAGCCCCATGACTCTAACTCTGATGGGCCTATTTTGTTCACCAACGACCACAAATAAGAAGGTGAGGATGAGGATGGCAGTGGTGAACGTGCTCTGGCAAGTAAAACTGGCAAAGGGATATTCTCACAATTAAACTTAGCAATACACTATCTAAGAAAGAATTAGAAGATAAAAAAATCTTGCAGTGACACCCAAAGAAGAGAGGCAGGGAATCCAAGAACAAACTGGAAATTAGGAGACTTAGCCAGAGGCCCACAAATGAAGAATTGGAGCCAAAAAATATCCTATAACAAAGAATGAAGTAGTAGAACAAGAAGCAAAAATGGAATTACAGGGCAAACTCAGCAGAAAGCTTGGGCTGAGGCCCACAGTGGCAGAACTACAACCACAAAGAATCTTGGCACTTAAGAGTATGTAGAGGTCATTAATTCCCCAACCAGGACCACCAGGCACACAAGCCCTGGGCCAGGAAGACCTACAGTCAGGGCAGCAATAAGTACAGAATTAAATAAACTTAAAAGCACAGATATGGAAGCACACAAAGGTTTTGTCATCCATCATGAAATGTGAGACTATTTAGAAACAGACACAATAATCTTTGGGCGTAGCACCACTTACTGAAAACCTGATAATGCACTGGAATTTGAAAGCTTAACTCATGAAGGAAGAGTGGACTCTGCTTTTTTGGAAAGTGCTCCTCACTTGTACAGCCCAAAAGGAGCCAACGAGCAAAGGGAAGGATGCAGTGACACTTGCTGTCCAGCATAAATTACTGATGTAAGTTAATTCTTCATCAGGAGCTTTAGCCAATGAAGATGAACAGAAGACAATCACTGGTTCCCTGTCACCACAAGGCCAGATTTTATAGGGCAAAATTAAGGAAAAATGAGGAGTACAATTGCAGGCCACTGAAGAGAGGTGGGAGTCAAAAAGTCAGAAAAAAAAAGTATCTTATCATGTTAATGAAGAAAAGAGAAAACTGAAGCACAATTATATTTCTGAAGTAGGCATTTGGGTAGCTGAGAACTTAATATGAAATTTGGAAAATCTAACTGTCCAACAAGGATTTGTTAAAGACCTGACCCTAGAAGACTAGCCTTGTTTCAGCGCTATTTTGGTACAATACAGTACAACTTGTGTTATGCCAGCTGGCCCAGTTGCCAGAAAGGAGTCTGAGTGTCTTCATGCATCATTTTCCCGAATTCAGGAGACTTCTACTGACTCTTAACAAGCATGCTTACCCAAATTTTGTTGCAAGCTTTAAATAGCATGGCTAAATCGACTTTGTAATTTTTTATACTCCTAATCCAGATTCCAACTTTACACAAGAATTACAGGACTGGAAAATCAAATCAGATGTAATGTGACCTTACTAAACAGTAGTCAGTTTTAGAAATAAACCTTTTGGTCTTTCCCTATTTCAATTATCTCCAAAGTAGAAATAAAAATACTCGATCTAAGGAAAATGTTCTTTAAACTGACTATACTTCAGTTAGAAAAAACAAAACGAAACTCAAGCCAAATGCAGATGTGACACCTGCAGTTACTTCTGAATGGGAATTAGAAGTAGTACCTTTTGGGGGTTTTTATTTGTTTCCTGCTGCATTAAGTTGGACCACTATTTAAAAAACAACTAATGTACAAGAATAAAACATTTTTTACCAAGTGGCTTGTAAGAGCATAGAAATTTTCTAAGTTATATGTGAAGAAAACCACATTTCTTGAGTCCAAAAATGGCATCCACACATATAGTACAGACTCAAAAAGCAGAAATAATACATGAAATTGAAGTCATGGAAGGTTTCCCTATGAACCTACAGTCAACATTGTTTTTAATCATTTTAATATATGTAAATAACTACCTTGTATTCAATTATTCTTTCAAGCTTGTATTATGCCCATTTTATTAAGAAACATGAAATGTAAAATAAGACAAAATCTAAAGAGAGCTTTTTATTCTCAGAGCTTGGTCTAGAATTTTCTGAAGTGTTTCTGATTCATAATATTGAAAATCATAATTTTAAATTTTAGCCTGAAAGCAAGCATTCAATCTGGTGGATAAATTTGGAAACTGCCATTCAATTGTTATTTTGAAGAACCTCTGGAAACTAGATGGCTTTTGTCTAAAAAAGAAATGTTAAGTATTAGTTGGCCTATTTATTTTATGAAAGGCCAGGACCACTTCACAACCCATCAAAATAACGAGCATCATTTAACCTCTTCATACACTCAGTTTTGTGCATTAATACAATAAAACCTAGATTCTGGGGCATAGGACAGGGCTGTGGGGCAGGGGAGAACCCACAAAACAAGCTCTGAACTACAGTTTTACAATCTGAGTTTTTTTAAATCAAATATTGCATTAAAGTATTTTTCTTCATTACTGAGTTTCTTAGTGCTCCCTTAATTTTACAGCCAAGTTGAGCACCTCAGTCAGCTTGCCTTAGTACCGGCTGTGTATTTGAAAATCGCCATGCACTGTGCATCCATGCCCACAGCTTGATGGACAACTGCTACCACTAATTAGGACAATTTAACAACAACAGAAATTGAAGCACGTTAGTAGTTACCAGGACACCACTCCAACTTACCTGGGGTCACAGTCGATGAGGGCCCAGCCCCCATGGAACTTTTCATTATCAGGCAGCAGTAATTTCATGTAGCTTTGTAAGAGCTGGCTAATTAGTTCCTGGTGGCTTCTCTGATTTTCCTTATGCAAAGCTTCATGCTCTTTCTCCTTGGTAAATATGGAATAAAGATCTTCTGTCACTGGAATGCCTTGCATCAAATCTAGAGTAGAAAGTGTTAATATCTATCATCTTCTTAGTGTATGAATACATTTTTAAAAAGCAAAAGAGAATACAAGACCTAAAATGATCAAACTCTTCTTAAAAAATGACATAAATCTTTGTGACCTTGGATTAGACTTTTTTTAAGACATGAAACTAAAATCACAAGCAACAGAAGAAAAGAGCAGACAAACTGGACATCATAAAATTAAAAACTTGTGTTTCAAAGGGCAATGTCATAAAAGTTAAAAGACAGCACATAGAATAGGAGAGAATATTAACAAATCATCTATCTGATAAGGGCCTTGTATCCAAGAGCATATAAAGAATTCCTACAACTCAATAATCAAAAGACAAATAAGCTAATTTTAAAATAGGCAAAGGAACTGAACAGACAAGCTAACTTCTTCCTGGTGTAGCATGCAGCTCAAGGCTTAACAAAGCCATTGTAATCCCACTCCCTATACTTGTTTGGGACAGTGAAACCAGAGGAGGCTTCTGGGATCGATCTGCCAACCACTGGCCCTTCACGGAGAAGCAGTAAGCCCAGACTCTCAACCTGGAAGAGATCCAGCTTCAGGGTTCGGCTGAAGCTGAGGCTATGGATAGTCAAAATAAGAGAGGAACAGAACCTAGTTCCTCAATGACATAACTGAGCTGACAGATCAACCAGTGGAAGAAAAGTATCTTATTTTTCCTTGAATAAACAGCCAAAATCCAAGTTTCCAGTCAGCATATACCCTATCTATGGCAAACGAACCAAACTTTTTTACAGCAGAGTTCTCAGATTCCTCCCTGGCTTGTGCCTAGGCTCTGCTAATTCCATGTATGATAAATAATCAGGCTAAAAATAGGATTTTAAAAATATTCTCACAGATCATAGGACAAGCTGTTACATTTGGTTCTAATCCAGGACACTCTACATTTACTTTAATCCTAAAAGGTAATACTTTCATGAAAATTAAATTTAAAACATGTCAAGGCATGAATCCCACTGGGCAATATACCTTCCATTTCCTCTTTTAAATAAGAATCAGGATAAACTGTAAATCTGATACCCTAACATCCTGTTAAATTGAGCTTAAAAGAAAGGATGGTGCATTTATCCACAGCAAGAACACATGATAAACATCATATGAAGAAAGAAAATCATCTCATTATCTCTCTCAGCCCTGAGTAATGGGAAAACAAATAGAATATGAAAATTTCAGTTGATGAGGTTTTAGGGCAACTTATTCCACACTCCAGGAGCCTCAACCCTAACTTCTGTTACGTGAGTAAGAAATTGACAAATATGTATGGAAATGAGTGGTTTCTTTTGTTGCTCCAGCCTAAAAAAATTATTAAGTTCTAATCTCATAAAAACTTGAAATTGTTTGCTCAATACAGAGACACAAGTATATTATAAAACATATGAATTACATTAACAAAGTTGGTTTCTATAAAATGTTAGTCACAGAAAGAATAATAAATTTTAAATCTAGAAAGGCTTTTATGTTCCTTACCTATAACAGCTTGCCTATAAGCATCCTTAAATCGATTCAGGTAGTACCTATTTGCCGAGTTAACACCATCTTTCATAACTCCTGCTAACTTCCTTTCTCCTGTCCTTGTAAAGTCACCCTGTCAAGAAAATAGTCTTTTTGAAATTTATTCAAACTCAAAAATGTTCCCAAAGTTAATGAGGGGTTTTGATTCAAGACTGGAGTTGTATAGGCTTTATAATTTCAAGATAATGTAATTAAATTAAAATATCTACTAGTATTTGACTCTGACCCAAGCATGTCAAATAATTAAATATGTTATTGGTGGCATCAAGTCTTCACAGTTTCGGCAATCTAGAATTTCTAGAATTTAAAGGTCAACACTTCTTATATAATAAACAACAGAACAACAAAAAGATTTTCAAGCTTCCAAATGGTATGATATTCAAAACCTATTAATTTCTGATGTGGGAAAATGCAGGCAGTTTCCTAAGGGTTATTTAATGGGATTTAGCCTGTGTATGCAGATACGTATATACAGAGAGCAGAGGTTTCCATATCTTGCTGCATATTACAGTCACTGTAGAATGCTCCAGTGAAGATTTAATTATTTTGTTTCTTTTGGTTTTCGCAACAAAGGTGTCAGAGCAAGTCCCTACAGAGGTAGTGACTTAAGGCAAGGAAATAGCAGTCTTTTTTCCCCATCCCAATCCCACTATTTCTGTCCAAGGCAATTTCAGAAACAGGCCTTGTCCTGAAATTGACAATTTAAGAAGAGCATGTTGCCCATTAGTTAGGTCATTCACCAGAAATATTAATTTAGCAATAAGAATCTATTACAAGAGAGACATAAATGCTGCATCCAAAGAAGTTTACTAACAAGGGGAAAAAAAATTTCTTTTTTTTTCCAGCTTTATATAATTGATAAGTAGCATTGTATAAGTTTAAGTTTACAATGTAATGTTTTAAGGTGTACAATGTAATGATTTGATATATGTATATATTGCAAAATAATTACATTAAGGTTAGTTAACACATCCATCACCTCACATAATTCCCTTTGGTATTTGGTGGGGAAAATAAGAGCATTTAAGATTTACTTTCTTGGCAAATTTCAAGTATACAATATAGTGTTGTTAACGACAATCATCATGCTGGACGTTAGATCCCCAGAACTTGTCTCACAACTGAAAGTTTGCGCTCTTTCACCAACATCTCCCATTTTCCCTATCCTCTGGTAACTACCAATCTACTTATGTTCCTATGAGTTTGGCTTTTTAAAACTCCATGTGTAAGTGAGATCATGCAGTATTTGCCTTTCTCTGTTTGGCTTATTTCACCTAACATAATGCCCTCAAGGTTCACCCAAGTTGCTGCAAGTGTCAGGGTTTTCTTTTCCTTTATGGCTGAAATTCCACTATATATAAAATTTTGTACACACACACACACACACACACATATACACACACACTTTCTTTAGCCACTCATCCACTGTTAGACACTCAGGTTGTTTCCATGTCTTAACTATTGTGAATAGTGCTACAGTGAACACAGGAGTACAGGAATTTCTTCAAGACATGGATTTCATTTTTTTTGGATATACTGTAAAAATAGGATTGCTGGATTATATGGTAGTTCTACTTTTATTTTTCTGAGGAACTTTCATACTGTTTTCCATTGTGGCTATGTCAATTTACATTCATACTAACAATGTGCAAGAGCCACCTTTTCTCCCATTTGTTACCTCTTGTCTCCTAGATAACAGCCATTACAACAGGTGGGAGGTGATAGCTCAATGTGGTTTTGATTTGCAGTTCCCTGATGGTTACTGATGTTGAATACCTTTTAATGTACCTGTTGGCCATTTGTATATCTTCTTTGGAAAAATGTCTGTTCATTTTTAAATGCCTATTTTTAAATCAGATTATTTGTTTTTTGCTATTGAGTTGCATTACGTCTTTATATATTTTGGATATTAACCCCTTATCAGACATATGGTTTGCAAATATTTTTTCCCATTCCATGGCTTGTCTTTTCATCTTGTTGATTATTTTGCTATGCAAAAGCTTTTTTTGTTTGATATAGTACCACTTGCTTGCTTTTAGTTTTCTTCTTGTGCTTTTGGTGCCAGGTCCAAAAAAAATCATTGCTAAGACCAATGTCATGGAACCTATGCTTTCTTGTAGGAGTAAACTAAAGTTTCAGGTCTTACATTTAAGCCTTCAATCCATTTGGAGTTAATTTTTGTGACTGGTGTAAGATGGGGGTCCAATTTAATGATTTTGCATGTGAATATCCTAATTTCCCAACACCATTTAGTGAAGAGACTATCATTTCCCCATTAAGTATTCTTGGCTCTCTTGTTAAATATTAGTTGATTGTATATGCCTAGGCTTATTTCTGTGCTCTCGGTTCTATTCCATTGGTCTGTGCCCCTGTTTTTATGCCAGTTTTGATTACTACGGCTTTGTAATACAGTTTGAAATCAGGAAGTGAGATAGCTTTGTTCTTTCTCAGGATCGCTTGGATACTAGGGGTCTCTTGTGGTTCCACATGAATTTTAGGATTGTTTTTTCTATTGTTGTGGAAAATGCCAAATGAATTTTGATAGATTGCATTGAATCTGTAGGAGGCTTTGAGTAAGCGGTAGTAACATTTTAATATTAATTTTCCCAAGCCAAGAACATGGGCTATTGTCCATTTACTCGTGTCTTCCTCAATTTCTTTCATCAACATCTTACAGTTTTCAGCATACAGATCTTTTACCTTCTTGGTTAAATCTATTCCTTAGTATTTTGTTGTTTTTGATGGTATTGTAAATAAGATTGTTTTCCTTCTTTCTTTTTCAGATATCTCTGTTGTGTACAGAAACAACTGATTTTCACAGGCTGATTCTGTATCCTGCAATTTTACCGAATTCATTTATTCTAATAATTTTGTGGTGGAGTCTAAGATTTTCTATATAAGGCTGACCCTTTAACAATGTGGGGGTTAATCTTTGTATAACTTATGGTCAGCTTTCTATATCCACGGTTCCTCCACATCCAGGGATTCAACCAACCTCAGACTGTGTAGTACTTTAGCATTTACAACTGAAAAATATTTGTGCCTCAGCAGACCTGTGCAGTTCAGTGGGCCTATGCAGCTCAATGGACCCGTGCAGTTCAAATTCTTGTTGTTCAAAGGTCAACTGTGTAAGATCACACCATCTGCAAATCGAGACAATGTTATGTCTTCCCTTTCTGTTTAGATGCCTTTTTTTCCTTCTCTTGCCTGCTTTCTCTGGCTAGGACTTCCAGTACTATGAGGAAACGGAGTGGTGGAAGTGGGCCCCCTTGTCTTGTTCTGATCTTAGAGGAAAGCTTTTAGTTTTTCACTACTGGGTATGATGTGAGCTAAGAGTCTGTCATATATGGCCTTTATCACGTGAGTACATTCTTTCTACACCCAATTTTTTGAGTTTTTATCATGAAAAGATGTTGAATTTTGTCAAATTTTTTTTACATCTATTAAGACAATCATATGATTTTTACCTTTCATTCTATTGATGTGGTATTAACATATTAATTGACTTTTTGAATTTTGAACTAGGGGTAAGTCCACCCTTGATCATGGTATGTGATTCTTTTAATGTGCTGTTCAATTTGGTTTGTTAGTATTTTGCTGAGAACTTTTGCATATATATCAACCAGGGACATGGGCCCATTCTTGCTGTGTCCTCTTCTGGCTTATGTATCAGGGCTTCATAAAATTAGTTTGAAAGTTCCCTCTTCTAATCATCATAGAAAAATAATAAAACTTTTCTTCAGCATTTACTGTGTGTCAGGGAATGGCCTAAACTCTCACATGCATTAACTCATATAATCCCATGACAATTTTCTGAAGTGGGCCTAGTATTATTCCTGTTTTACAAATGAGGAGACAGACACAGAGAAGTTAAGTGACTTGCTCACAGCCACAGAGCTATTAAGAGGCAGGGTTGGGATTCAAATTCAGAGGAGGCAAATTATACTAAGGACCCAAATCCCACCAACACAGACATGTTTTGTTTTGTCTGTGTTAAGTTTAAAAAACCAACTATTACACATAAAATTTCTAATTTCCAAACTTCCTTGAAAACTGGGAGATCTAGCAACACTGAGCCTCCATCCCCATTAGGAAGTAGCAAAACAGCACCTTCCTGAGACAACATATGCTCTTTCTCAGGTCCCCACAGCCCATTTCTCCCTTTAATTTAATGGGTGGCCTGTTTAAGTCACATTACCTGGCACCTGTAGGGATCTCAATGTGTGACCCCTGCCTTACCCAAGCATTCCAGAAAGGAGTCAACTGCATAGATCTACCACCTGTAACCCACATACTTTTCTCTCAAAAACCAAGTTGGTTTTAAATCGAATTCTATGTCCCACAGAATAATCCAGAGATGCTGGCTGCAGGTGCTTACCTTCAGAGCAGCTGTCCCAGCATACTGTCTGCTAATGGAGTCACCATTGTTGGCCCACATTATCTGGTAGATCCGATTGCATTTCACTGGTAGTGGCTGCTCCGGGGGCATCACACCTAATTTTTTCAGCTAAAATTAATATATTGGTGGATTAACTGCATATAAGCCAGGAAAAAGTATAGCATAAAATGTATACTGCAGAAAAAAAGAAGCATGTGCACATACAATCTAGGACCCTTAAATAAATGATTTCAGACTTTTTCAAAATAAAGCACCACTTGAGAGACAAATTTATGAATTGCTACAGCTGAATAAATAAAAAATTTATACTCTTTTGGCATAATCTTTAATGCGTAGGTTCATACTATTCTATTTTGTCTGGTTTTAGATTTGCCTATGAAGTGAAAAGAAGTATCAAAAAATCATACAGAAAAAAAAATCATACAGAAACAACAATAATATTAACAGTAGCAGAACAGTAAGCCCCCAGTAAATGTTAACTCTGGGACCACCGCTGGGGTTCTAAGGGTTTTTTGACATAAATTATTCATTTACTCCTCATAAGAACCCTATGCAATCAATACTCTTAAAGATGAGGAGACAGAAGTTTGGGAAGGTTGAGTTCTTCGCATGGGGTCAACACCTAGTATGTGGTAGAGCCAGGGCTTGATCTCCAAACGTGACACTAGAAGGCATCCTCAAAGAATAGTCACAGCCTCTATCAGAAAAAAAAACGGAAACCATGCTAGGAATGTCAACCTTAGGAATTCATTACCCAGGTGTCAGAGGGCTAAAAGATCTAAAAGAGATACAATAACTGCAGGAAACAGCTGCCACCAGCGAGGGTTGGGGCACAAAGGGAAGAGGCTGGTTCTGTGCTGTCAAAGGAACTACAGCCCCCAGAGAGGGCACTGATGATGGGAATATAACACAGATGAAGAAGTTTGTCCCTTTTTCCTCTTCTAGCCTCATGGTCTTCCTTTAATGCCCTTTATTGACAGAGCCTGACATGGAACCAGCTGGTTGGGCAGAAAGGTGGCATGCAGACCCCATACCCCAAACACAGAAGGGAGAGTTTAGAGCTGAGAGAAAAAGGTAAATGACTACATAGTACCATGCAGTAGAATTTTAAATGTTGAGCCTCACATTTTTTAAATGAGTACTTAAGAAAATGCCATTTGATTCAACTGATTTCTAGTGAAGGCTATACTCTCCATGTTTCAAAGCAACAAGGATGTTTGCATGCTATAAATTTTCTATGGAACAAAGATTTTAGTTACTTGCTTACATGTGAAAAAAAATTAAAAATGAATATTTACAATCCAGCAGACTCCAAATTACCTGCTGTTCCATGACCACTCGTGCGATGGCAGCTTGGACCACGTTAGTACGATCCAGGCAATCCATGCAATTAACTCGAAAAATTCCTTCTTGTTTACATATTACCCCAGCTTGATCAACCCTTTTCAAAAACAGTGTGGAATTATTTTACAATATAAAATACTTCAAGTTTTTCAAAAACCACAATTCTTTAAAGTATAACAATAATAACAGCAGCACTGGTTATCAATTTGCTGGGAATATTATGATACGGCAGGTATTACTGAGATCTTTATAGACATTATTATAAATTTACACAAGAACTTGACAAGGAAGATATTATCTCCACTTCGAAAAAAAACCTGAGGTGCGGAAAGAGTGACTTGGCTGAGTCACACAACTAGTAGGCAGAGCTGACACAACCCCTAGTCAGGCTTTTCTACACATTTAAGACCAGAAGTCACTTTAAAACACCATCCTTTAAAATACCATCCTTTTTGACTCCAAGTAGAAATGCATCTAAACTAGCTTGAACAGACTAATTCACTTTACCACCCAGCGAGGAGTCATGCAGCATGCCTCACTCATCTAATTTCTCTGGCCACCCATGGCTTTAAAGTCTAACCAAATGTTCTCCCTGTCCTTTAAGCCAATTTCCTCTTCCTACATCTCCCTCCCACAGTCTGAGAATCACGTTTCCTTTTCTGACAATTTTTAAATGCCCCCAAACTAAGACCAAATACCCCTAAGCCTTCCCTCCCATGTTAGGGACCAAGAGGAAATGTAGACCACGGAGCATTAGAAGGGATTAAAGAACAGTCACAGAGCACTTCACTCCATTTTGCTCGACCGTCTGACACCTTTTCCCTGTTCAAAGCTAACACTGCCTAAATGATTAACATTCTCTTGAAAGGAGAATAGAAATTGGGAAGCAAAACAAGAAAAGCAAAAATCCTTTCTCAGCTTGCTATTATTTTAATGCTCAGTGGTACTAGACGAACACATATGATTTCACAGACCAAGAGTTTGTCAAATAGATTTCTAATGAAATACCTACCAACACCACTTCATGTCAAGAATAATGTCATAAATGGCATCTGTCAGTGTTTGAACATTCTCAAACTTCATTCCTCGGCTAACATACATGCCAAGAGAAAGAAAAGAATCTTTAACAACAATTTTTTTTAACTTAAGATGATACTTAAGGCTGCTTAGAAAAATTTTTTTAAATTATTACTTTAAGTATATGAGATTAACACTACTATATATTATATAAGCAATTGTATAAATGCTTATAACTAATCTGCATTATGAAAGGAAATATACTGAAACATATCACAGATATTAGAAGCTTCTTTCCCCACTAAATTTTCAATACCTAAGTAAATGAACCCACATTAGAACCAGGATTATGATAAAACAAACTTGCTTTCAGAATATACACAAGTTAAAGTTACCATCAAAATGACTTATTTTTCCAGAGCAAACTCTAGTGAAGTTTATCCAGAGGCAGGAAAAGTATTACTAACAGAGTATGAAGACGAGCCAGCAGGATGTTTTTTTAAAAATTTTTTTTTACACTTTCTTTTTTTCTTTTCTTTTTCTTCTTTCTTTTTTTTTTTTTTTTTTTTGGTGAAGTGGGGAGGCAATTAGGTTTATTTATTTATTATTGTTATTTTAATGGAGGTACTGAGGATTGAACCCAGAACCTTGTGCATGCAAAGCACTCTACTCTTCAGCTATACCCTACTGGCAAGGATGATTTTTAAGTAAGGGAACTCTTACTTCTGCCAGGCTCAAACTCAAGAAGAAAGGAAAAAGCTCCAGAAGTTCTTTAACTGAACAATAAAAGGAAAAATGGAACTCTAAGCCCGAGTCTTTGGAATAGAAAGACTACAAATATTTCAGGAACAATTAACCTAAGTTTTTAGCCAAAATAAAACTCATATGAAAATGGAACTAAGTAAACAAATGATACTCCTTCTGTTTCCAACAATAAGGAGAAGAAGAAATGTTTCTTCCCAATAAAGAGAAAACAAGCTAGGTCCCTTTGGCAGCATCTACTACGAACACTAAAACTGATCAAAACTCATCTCAGGAAGTCATCTTACCAGTGCTCGTGGAAGTCAAACGAAACGTAAGTGAGGTGTGAGTTGTTAAAGAGTAACACTTGCTTCAAGTAAGCATCACCGATAATTTTCTCTCTTCCTGCCTGGTCTACCAAATTAATAATAACCTGTGAGAGTGAAGAAAAGGGAAAAATTCAGTTTAATCAGAAATTAGATGCATAATATGATTTTTTACTGAATTTATTTAGAAGTATGTTTTAGAAATATTATATAGCTATGCTTAGAAATCAATCCACTCAAGCATCAGTTTTTTTTCCTATAAAATTAGATTTTCATTTGCTATATCTAGGTTTATAAGAATTCTTTACATCAATGGCATGAATACCTTTTTTATACATAATACATTTGCAATAACCTATTAGAACACATAATGAAAACAAGGTCCTTTATAATAGCAGGTATTTTAAATACCTACAGTAAGTTTTAAATAAACATACAAGACCTACATACTAGGCACTGAAATTTTGCTGAAATACAGAAAAGATAAACTAAATAAATGGAGACACACACCATGGTGCTAGATGGCAAGATTCAATATTGTAAATGTGTCAAGTCTCCTTAGGCTAATCTTAACATCTTAACAATCTCCATCAAAATTCCATCAGGATCTTTCTATGGACTTGACAAGTTAATTTTAAAGTTTTTCTGGAAGAGTGAATAACATGGGAAAAATTTTTGAAAACTAATAACAACAAACTTTCCCACTGGAGAGCAAAACACACTGCAAACCTATAGCAATTAAAACAGTGGTGAGAGTGCAGAGAAATGAATCACTCAACAGAACAGGACAGATGGCCCAGAGATAGACCTATGTACACTGAGGAATCTAAGATATGGTAATATCATTCTGGGATAAAGATGGACTACTGTATAAATGGTATTGGGATAACTGTCTATCTATGAGGGGAGGGGGAACTTAAGTTAGCCCCCTGCATCTCATTATTCACAAAGTAAATTCTAGATGCATTAATGATCTAAATATTTTTTCTTCAAGTTATAAAAAAAAGCTAGAAGAAAATTTGGAATGATTTTTCCCTAATTGTAGGATGGCACATACCTTTTTAAGCATAACAAAAAACAGAAAGCATAAAGAAGATAAGTGACAACACGAAAATTTAAAACCTCTGTACCAAATGACAGTATAAGCAAAGATTAAAAAAAAAAAAGGACTACCTAGGGGACTATATCTGTAACACAAAAACCATTAATATATAGAGTGCTATAAATTCAGTAAGAAAAAAATGGATACAGAAGATATTCACAAGAGAAAATGTACAAATAGCCAATAAACATGAGACTACAACTTTGTTAATTAAGAAATGCAAATTTTAAAACAGAAAACCAGTTTTCACCCATAGGCAGGCAAAAACTGAACACTAAACATAGACAGCATTATACAGTGTGGGAATAAATGGGAATCTATCAGGGTGGGGAATGGGCACTAGCTCCCATTGTGGCTGAGAGTTTAAACTGGTGTAATCTTGGGGAGCAACTG